GGGGAAGGACTGCTCTGATATTGATATCTAGTTCCTGGTTCAGTTTCCCAGCTCCCTGATTGCTTCCCTCAGCCCTCATTTCCCCAGCTCTCCCTCGGGGGCACAGGCTCCTGATCTGCACACGGGGTTTCAGCAGGCTGCTGCTGTGGCCAGTGGCAGCCGCTTGGTGGAGCCCGCATTGAGCGCTACGAAGACTGCAGTGCTGCTGCAGGCCCCAGCCTGTAGCAGAAGACTACTGAAACCCACCGCTCAGATTGGGGGGCCCATGCCCTCCAGGATGAGCTGGGGAAATCGAACTGGGAGCTGGGGAATCCCTGCTGCATGACCTGGCTCCACAGGGAGCAGAGATCCATGCCAGGGCCTCCTCGCTACCACTGCCTGCCCTGTGCAGCCCCACGTTGGCGGAGCATTGCGGAGCAGGCAGCGGTGGTGAGGAGACCCGGAGCATGGATTTCTGCTCCCTGCGGAACCAAGTCACCCAGCAGAGACCAGCAGGCTTGCTTGCTGCTCTGTGCTGCTTCCCTCCCCCGCGACCTGGCATGACAGGGACTGGAGATCCGCATGGGGGTCTCCTTGCCTGTGTGGAGGTCAGCGGCCCTCCCCTGGATGAGCCACCCCCAGACCCATCCTGCTCCTTGCTGGGGCCCTGCAGCCCCAAGTCCCACCCAGCCGGGCAGTACGGCTGTGCAAAGCTTCCTTTGCAGCCTGTTTGAAACAGATTCGGAGGAGATTCGGCTCTGAAACATTCAGCCAAAATGAAACAGGACAGTGATCCAAAACACCAAAATGAATCGCTGTCCTCTGAAATGGCCGAATCTGAAACCAAATCAAAACACAGCCATTTCACGCAGCCATAGTATACAATCTCTTAATTTGCCGTTCTCTATGATTGTGAGGTGCTGTTACAATAGTAACTGGTCAGTAAGATAAACATTGGAATTTTTTACCCAATGAACTCTAAATAATCTTTATCACATAATGGATTGGAATGAACATATACAATGCTTAATTTAATTTTTTCACTGTATGGATATGATAGAGAGTGTTTCATTTATGGCTTCTTCTGGGTTCTATACTTAGTGACTATTATGTATTACTGGTGTGTCCTGTTATGCAGGAACTATCATATAAGTATAAAGAATGCAAAATGTCTATACTTTGTTTATTTTACAATTCAGAAACAAATAAGTTTGCATAAGTTTGTTAAGAGAAATCCAAGACTGAAATCTTTAAACGAATATAATGTATTGAATTGATTGAAGCATGGTTTGATCACACAAAAATGGTGCAAAGGAAGAGCAAAAGTCATTAAAGTCAATGTTGTTACTTCAGATTTACACCATTCCAGTGAAGAGCGGAACGTAATCCCTCGTATGCAATCATGTGTTACAAAGCTAAAAGTGTGCAACCTCTTGCTGTTTCTTGAATCTAGCTGTGATGACCTTTGTGACACTTACTCTTAGGGCAGTCTTTATAACAGTCTGCAGTAGGAGCACTCAACTTTCGGTCTGTAGGCCAAATCTAGCCCATGGTGGCTTGTCATCCAGCTTGCAAGGCTCCTTATAGGTCCAGAAATTTGGCAGAAAGGGAGCAGTGGCAGTGTTCCCCTGATGCCAGATTTCCAGACCCATGGGGAGTCCTGCGCCCTGTGTGCTGGATGGGTACCTGATCCTAGTGGACAGGGCCTGACAGGGTGGCACCAGATCCCAGGGCCTATCCCCAGTGTGGAGGGGCAGGAAGGGGCAGCACTAGGCCCCTGGGGTCCAATCTCAGTGTGCAGGACAAGGAGAGGCGGTACCAGGCCCCGTGGCATCTTCCCTGCAAATCAGTGCCTGGTGCTGGTGTCCTACTCACCTACCCCTAGTTATACTAGTTCTTACTGATCAATAAATCAGTGTTGTTATAGCATCCTGCCATTTGTAATAATTCCAGCAGAAGTATGGCAATATCGTTTTCTGTGTGATTTAGGATTACACATTGCTTCTTAAACTGTAGCAAAACTCCAAAGATACTGAACTATTAGCTTCGTAATAATATTTTATTATTTTTAAAGAAATTCACATGTGGAATGTCAAGCATTCCAATCCATCAAAAATCCTATTCTTCTTAACCAAAAATACACTAGTGAGTAAAATATGTGAATGTATTGACATTTATTCTGTAATGTCATTTGCAGTCATTCTGATATCTGTTGCTTTTATTATTGGAGAATATCATGTTATTAGAGACCATAAGAAGGGACTATCTAGTGAGGTGTTTGATACCTTTTATGAAATGACCTCCAAATAAGCACCCTTGTTAAAAATATTGCTGTACCTAATGAACAGAAGATATTGTTGTCCAGGGATAACTATTGGGCCTTTTTCCTGAAAAACCCTCTGAATATAATGAAAAGGAGGGCATGATTCTTACATCTAGCATGTTAGTATGTCTGACATACCTGCTGCTGATATTGGAGAATAATACTAAAAAATATTTTCTTTCCTACAGAAAATGCAAAGGACATTCTCGTGATTTATGAAGAAGAGGCAGAAGAATGGGCTCTGTATTTAAAATCTCTTTTCAAACACGTAGTAAAGGAAGAAGGAATCTTACTTTACAATTTAGAAGTTTCATCTCTTGAACGTACTGAATTGTGCTGTTTATCCTGTTATAAATGCAAACTGCTGATATTATCCAATGGACTTCTAAAATGTCTCAATCAGACAAGAAGCCATTTCCTGGACCAGGTTCTTGAACCACCAGATAAGGTTGTGATTCTCCTTTGTGGGGTGCACAATTCAGACATTCTCTATGAAATACTGACCTTAGACCAAAGTACCTGGGAGATCTCTACTGATCAAGATCCTGAGGAATACCTCTCCATTGTGACCAGTATTATTCAACAAGGTAATTTAAGAAACAAAATCTCTTCTATTATGGTTATTTTAATAAAAATCTTCTAATAGTGTTAATGCTAATTGGAAAAGATAATAATTAAAATACTTTGGAATAGCAGCTCTTCATTTTGGCCCAGGATCTTCATCTTGCTCATTTTAAGCCTGGTGATAGCAGTTCTCAACCTTGTTAGACTTAAGGCACCCCTTCAAAACTTTTCGGAATTGAATGGCGCCCATTAAAAAGCTAATATAAATAACTGATGAATACTGTAATATAAGCCTTATAATCTAGTATTAATTAACATGCTGTTAATATTGATATCTTGTGCTATAAGGGAGAGTCCAGGATGCCCAGCCTGCAGGAACAAGGTGCTGGGGTGCACATGCAGCATGTTGGGAGTGCTGGGGGCTAAGATAAGGAGGGGTGGGTATCCATAGCAGGTTCTTTCAGCATCCTGGGCTGAGAATCACTAAATTATAGAGGGTAAGGGGGTTATCTGCCCCCCCCGATTTATTTTCCCTGTTGAAGCAGTGGGAGGAGGAGGACAAATTCAAGACAAACCTCCAATAATTAGATTCTCTACATGGAAAATTATATTAAATTGATAAATGTTCCATATGTACAATCTAATTATTGGTGTGGGGGGGTGGGGGTTGTCATCTAATCAGGGTCATCTTATATTTGAGTAAATATGGTACTGTTACTGCTGCAGGATATTTATTCGGTATGCGGGTAGCATTGTGCAGCATAAGTGAAATGGGTATTTCTTTATTTTGGTTTATGCTTTCACAAAACGTCTGTTTACTGAATCTGCTTGAAAAGTACTACTATAATAAAGAGGACCAAAATCTTTGCTGCTGCCAATGGCTGGTAGCAGTGACTTCTGATGAAGGTGCAAATAGGGCTGAAGTTAGCACTTGTTGGATTATATGGTCACAGTGGTTTCACTGCGGGGGAGGGGGAGAGGGGAGTATTGTTTTGTCCCAAAATAGAAGGACTTGCAACTCTTGTAACATTCCTTACTGTCTGATGTAATTGTGTGTGTTTGCAGAATACATATACAGGTTAATTGAAAATGTCCTGTGTTCTCAAGGTTTTACTCAGAAACTGTATTTGTGTCACAAAAAGTGTCATCCTTGGGCTCAAATGAACAGGCAGGATTGCCTTCTTGCCACTCAGCATTTCCTCCTGATTTAATACTTCTCCATATGGGAACTCCTGCCTTTCCCTGAACCTGTCTCTTACCTCTACAGGCATGTCCAGACAAGGGTGGACGTGCGGTATTCCATGCTGTAAACCCATCTGCGGTGTCACGTATTGCACATGCAAGCATCCCCCTGCACTGCTATTTTGCAGCATGGGGGAGAGGTGGGGGTTGACCCCGGGATCTCGCATGGTCAAAAAAAAACCCCATGCCAAAATAATGTGGGGTGGTGTACAGGGTGCCAGTGTATGCCACCCAAAACTGGAGCCCGGCTGACTGGAGCCACACTCCAGCTACCAGCCAGGCTTTCTGCTGCAGGACCACTGTGGCTGCAGCTCCCGGAGGCCTCCACGACCCCAGGTAAGCGGGGAGCCAGCACAGTTGATGGTTCCAGCCTCCCCTACCCCACCTGGGGTAACCTGCTGTGAGCCAGAGAGCATGCGACACGGGCGTTCCCAGGGGACAAGTAGGAGTGGCACAAGGTGTGCCGCTGCTACTTGTCCCTGGGGAAACACATGTTCTCACCCATCTGGACATGCCCTATGTGTCCTATTGCTTTCTGTGTTTTGAAATGTGACTACCCAATTTGGCTACCAAAAGGAAGTGGGGGTGGGAGAGTGGGGGTGGCTGTATAGCGTGCTGCTACAGCTTGACACTGATCTGTTGAAGGAGTGGGGTGGCACCAGTAAAGCTATGAGCAGAGGTTGTCGCAGGGGAGTTTGTTTCATTCCAGTGAAGGCTGATATGAAAACTACAATTTCTGAAAACCAAATCTAGTTTCTTAGAAGAAAAGTATTTCCTCATTTTGGTCTATTCTTTCATAAAGCAGTTGTTTACTGACTGTGCTTGCAGAATACTATTATAAGTGTTCAGGAGGGCCAAAATATTTTACTGTTGACATTGGCCAGTGTCAGTGACTTCAGAGAAAAGTGCAGACTGCTGTGATTAGTGCTTTATTTGTGGGATCCCATGGTCACAGTGCAGGTTTCATTGTGTGTGTATGGGCAAGTGAAGGGGGGCTGTTCTACCCTGAAGCAGAAGGACATGCAATACTTATAACGTTTCTTATTAATGTAATTGCACATGTTTGCAAAATGCATCTACAAGTTCATCTTTTTTAGAATCTTGCCAGACACTTTGCTGAATACCTTGATTTCACAGGGATTTTCCCTGTTTATGTAGGCATTGTAGAAACGATTTATTTAATTTATCATTTAAAAATTTGTTTCTGTATGAAAGGACCAAGAAGTGTGTTTGACTTTTCTTTTCTCCTGCTGTCCTCCATCATGCTCCCTCCCCATCATTTTTTTTTCTAAATTAAACACTCTGAACATTTTCAGTCTTCCCATGCCTTATTAATTGCTTTTTTGCTTGTCTCTGATCTTCTCTTTCTTTCTTCTTTTTGAGATAAGGTCACAAGCAGAACACAGCACTGTATTTTTAAATCCTATTCTTTCTCTTTGCTCATGAACATTATTCATTACTGCTCATTTGCTCACTTCTCACATTTGTACTACCTTGCATCCCCTCAACTCATGCCTCCTCAAAGTTTATGGAGTTCTCACTTTTTTCCTTAAAACTCCCCTTTTCCATGACCTATTTAATTTAGAATAGCTAACTGGTGCCATAGCATCAGTTCTCCATTGGAGCTGAGTTTTGTTTTTTGCAACCACCGTCATGGTGGTTATTCTAGATCCGTGATTCTCAGTCAGGGGTCCATAGTATGTTAAACCATATCATCTATAGATCCTTTTAAGGGTGTTTCAGAGTAGTGCACAATAATAGCACTGTGTAACAGGGCCCCTACCCATTACTGAGAAGAGGAAAGCCAGAGGGTCACAGTATCTTTGAGAGAGCCCCCTTGTGAATATGGACTAGGCTTTGGAATGCAGAGGGGCCACTGCCAGGTCCAAAGCACTAGGGGGAGTGGCTGCCAGACCCCTTAGTGCCATGAGGGGTACTGCCTGAAGCTTGCTAGAGAGTGTGGCACCAAACAGTGGGGCTAAAAGAGCTGAAGCCTATAGAATGTGAATAGCAGGCTTCTGGAGCATGGCCACAGGCAGTTGATTGGGGGAAGCAGGACTGCAGCAGAGGGTAGTCAGGGTAGCCTGCTAATTGAACCAGTTATAGTTTCATAGTTTCTAGGGTCGGAAGGGACCTGGGCAGATCATCTAGTCCGACCCCCTG